CGAATCAAAAGAGCAGTTCAACAGTTGGGACGCGATTTCGTTTTGTCTTCGTTTCATGATTTTAAGCTCTTTCTTGAGCTGATTGTGAGCGTCGGCCGAAACGGTGGGCGCCATCCCATGACTAGACTTGTAATGACTCGGTTCGGGCTTTTGCTTGTCTTTGCTTTCCATGAGTTTTGTCTGCAATTTCTCGGCAATCGTCACATATTTATTATATTTAGTCCTCAATTCGTCCCTTTCTTTCTTGCATTTAATGACATCCCTTTCGAGACTCAATAACTTGTCCCTGAAGTCAGTCCTCTCTTCGTCGATACAATTCCTCAACTTTAGGACATTCTTATCGCTCAATACCTTAAACTCATCCAATTGTTTGCGCTCTTCATCTAACGTGTCTTTAATCCTCTGAAAGTCATTCTTGTAGTGCTCTCGCTGTCGGACGAGCTCTTTGTTGAGCGCCGCGTACTCTGTGTTCTCACTCTTCAGTTTATTGAGAGAGTCGTGCAAATGGTTGTGTTGTTTGCGAAGTTTGTCCAACTCTTCAATACTAATCTGATTTGACTCAACTTTTGCCCTTAAAATCATTGAATCTCTTTCGACACTTAATCTCAATTCAGACATATTCTCGATTTGACGTCTCATTTGTTGGATCTCTTCCTTTAGTTTAGACTTTTCTTCTTTTAAATCCTTGAGTTTGGATTGAATTGAAGTCCTAATCATAAAAAGTATTATTAAAAATAAATTATTGTAAATAAATTGATCTCACTTTTCGTGTTCAACAGCCGATCGTTTGTCAAACTCTTGTTGTCTTATTTCAGATATTTTTAATTGAAATTCTTTATCTTTGGCGCTGTTTTCCAGTTCTAATCGCTTGATTGTATCGTTTTTAGTCTCAATTTCCAGTTTCATAACTAAAATTAATAATTTATTAATTAAATTACATAACAATATATTCAATAAATGACTTACTCCTCAATTGACTGGACATCACATCCTTTTGTTCGTCAATATCTTTAATACTTTTATTATAAGAATTCTTAATCTTATCCTTTTCTACATCAAAATGTTTATCATTATCTTCTATGGACTTATTTAATCGATTCATTTCATTCTTCAATCTCTCCATATCTGCCATTAAATCCAGTTTTTCTCTTTCATTGCCGGCAATCGTTTGTCTTAAGTCCATATTTTTATCGCTAAAACCCTTGAGCTGTACATTGAGTGCAGAGATCTGCCTCTCGGCCTCTCTTTGGCTGTTCTCGTGTTCGGCGACCAGTGATTCCACTTTCGACTCAATCCTCTTATACTGTTGTTCCGCGTCTTCGAGTGTCGACTGATAGGACTTCACTCTAGCCGTCAATCTCTGGTTCTCATGAGTCAAATCCGTAAACTTCATAACATCTGGCAATTGGTTTGTTTCCAACAATTTGTTTCTCAGCTCTTCTTTTTCGCGTTTAATTAAATTAATTTCCGATTCAAACGAGAGTTTCATTCTCTCGATTGCGTCCAAACTCTCCTTTTCGAGGAAATCAATCTTCTGTTTAGCGATCTTCAGCTCATAACCGATGCGCTCCTTATCTCTGGCCATCGTTTCGTTTCCGATTCAAACGAGAGTTTCATTCTCTCGATTGCGTCCAAACTCTCCTTTTCGAGGAAATCAATCTTCTGTTTAGCGATCTTCAGCTCATAACCGATGCGCTCCTTATCTCTGGCCATCGTTTCGTGACTCTTCTGCAACTTCTTCAACGGTTCCCTTAACTCGTCCTCAAACTGGTTGCGAATGAGTGCCGGATCTCTATCTCTAATCTCAACCTTCAGATCATCGATGCTTTTATCCCTTTCGTCGCACGCCTTCAACAGCTGATCCAACTCTTGGTCTTTCTTGTCTTTAATGAGTTTGGTTTCGGACAAAATCTGTCTCATATCGGACTGAAGAGTGAGGAAATCCTTCTGCAGTTTCAAGTGTTCCTCTTTTAGTGTCGTGTAATTGGATTTCCTCTGCTCTGAGCGAACCCTCTCTTCGGCCAACAGTTTCTGCAACTCGTGCTCACGACTCGTCACCGCAACTGATCCACGACTCGCTCCTCCGCTGTCCATCGTTCACAACGAGTTGATCCCGAGTTGTGGCGACAATTGTTGACCACAAACCACAACAACAACACCGGTATCACTGACTTTGACTCTTTGATATCCAAACGACAAATGGTCACAAAAGTTGTCATTTCATTATTACTGATCACTTCTTTTGGTATCAATCATTCAAATCAATCATTCATTCAATCAATCGTTAATCAAATCATTAGTCTTTTGTTATCAATTGTTTTGATGATAATATTATCGCCAAATCTCTAAACAGATCCACATTTTCTTCTGCACTCTTCTCTCTGTCTTTCCGTTCAAATGGTTTTTCATAAAAAACTTTTTGTAAATTTAAATAATTTATTAATTGTATCGCAAATCATAGGAAACATCGCTTTTGTTGAGTGAATATTAAATCAATTAATTAATGGTTTAATGAATGAAAACAATTATAATTATTGTAAAAAGTTTTGTGTTTTCAAAATTACTATTTGTGTATATTTTTACAGTCAGTTGTCATAACAACGCCTACAGTCAGTGCCCGCTATTCATAGAAACCAATGCATTGAGAATATTGAGAGGAATTATGCCTTTGTTTCTACTAATAGGGATTACAGTCTACTCCGTGTATTATATACATTATATACATGTATAAATCATAATTGATTCCCAGATATAATATACAAATGAATATATTAGTGATATTATACAATGTATTGCAATATTGAATACAATGCATATCTCATAATCAAAAGTAACATAAGTCTGACATAACGTTTGCATTAATTTGAATACAAAAAGAGTATAAAAAGTTCATTGAATTGAACGCTAATATTTGTTAACAACTAAACACTAATTGTAATAATATTTATCAAATTTGCAATTGTTTTGCTCACTATATATAAATAATGATAAAATTCATACATTTATAGATTAAACATTACCAATCACTGTCTAGAAATTAAGACCTAACGCACTGAACTAAATAAACATGATAATTAATTGAATGATAAATAATGGTATCTTTAATTTGTCCATTCAATCAATTATTGATTTATTAGTAAAATTCAGATTACATTTTATGGTAGAAGAGGATGGGTTGGGTTTGGGTTAGGATTTAATTTGGTTAGATCTAACATGGTTACAATGGATTCGGTTCTTCTAACTTCTAACGCTTTAAAAATGAATTGAATTCAAAACTTTTTCAAAACTTTTACAAAACTTTATAAGTTATAAGTTATCTCGATAAATCAAAGACACGCATATATTTGCATTATACAGTAGTATTATATAATGTAGAAAAATTCCTTTACTATTGGTTTTTTAATATTATTTATATATTATTTAAGAAATAATTATAATTACTTTTAATTGCCATTTGAAGAGCACATCCATTCATCTTTCCTGAGTGTCACTCATTTAGACGACGAGTGGAGAAGAGCTCTCATTACCGACTAATTTGTTTGTAAACCCGACTGTCGCTCACCTCTAATCCATATCAGATAATATAGTTATACAATAATTGCATAGTTCATCGATATACAAGATAAATTGTCAAACTTGCAAACTTCAACCTTCAATTCACGATTACATTATATTAAAAAACTATAAATTGATAGTTATTTTTAAACGTTTTTTAATTGAAAGTCTCGTCTAAAGTGTCGGCAAATACACGATAAGTGCTTCATTAGTGAAAGAAAATTATGGCCACTGCACACAATTTCATCCAAAAAGTAGCTCTAATAACCGGTTAGTATCAATCGTATAGTGTGTTTAATGTAATATTGTTTTTGTGTAAATACAATGATTAGTATAATAATGATTGTGTTTGTAATTGAGGGTCGAGTTCAGGGATCGGATCGGCCACTGCTATCCATCTGTCGGCTTTGGGCGCACA